AGCATTGCTCGGTAATTGTTTGCATAGCCTTGTTGAGTATTTTATGTATCCTTGGAGAATTAAATGATTTTTTCTTTGTTTTGCTAGCATCAATAACAAGTGAACATAGATATTTGGGAATCAATGTACTGGTGCTTAAGTATTTCAGTTTTAGAAATCAGATGTTAATTCTAATTAGTTGCTAAAAAACGCTATTTTAAATATCTTTATTTGGTTTGTATAGATCAGCTAAAATAACAACTTACATATTTGGGAATCAGTAAGGTTACATAGTAGGTTTAGTTGCATTGTTGCTTCTTTTTTCTCCTTGTTTTTAGTTGTATTTGATTATGTTGGCATCTTGAAACCTCATATCTTTGATGCTTCAAATTTTTAAGCGTATCATATTAGAATACGGATAAAAGTTAGATTCATTTACATAGGTTGGACCCATGGTACGAACAATGAGTTAAGAACTCTATCAAGTTTGCATGTGAGCATAAATCAAATGCAATGGAACTCACATGCCCATGCAAAAAATGTCGTACTATTAGATTGGTAAAAGTTGAGCCTTTTGGAAGAGCATTCGATTGTAGATGGTTTTTTGAGAGTTACACTTGGGTTTTTCATAGGGAAAGTTCATTTGCATCAGTTTCTGTTAATAGAGATAACGAACCAAGTGATTCTAGTTAGGAATAAATTCAGGAAATGTTGCATGATGCATTTGGGATTCTTCCTCCAAGCCTTGTTTGTGGAATGAGAAACTTATAATTGTGATCTTGTCAATATAGATAATTTATTGATTAATTGAGCATGATTGAATGTTAATGTTTATATGGTTTTTTTTTTCCTTCAATATTAGGTCATCTAGAACAAGTAGTACAATCAGATGAGCTTATCAGAATTATTTTTAAAATTTTGTTGCAAAAAATTATGGCTATATTATGTGCAATCCAATGACAAAGTTGATGTTATGCCCGATTTTCGTTCGAATTTGTTGTTTTATAGACTGCATTAATTTTAGTGAATCTTGTTAATTGTTGAATGTTATAGGAAGTGGATTGTTGGATAACAGTAGGTTTACTGAAACAATAGATTACGATTTTTTTAAAATAATAATAATTTCGATTGTTATAGAGATGTTACCATTTCCTTTCAATAACTATGGGGGTATTAGATAATATTTCCGTTTCCATATTTTTTTAATAAAAAAAATAAAACTAATTTTTATTTTTATTTAATAAAAATTAAAAACATAAAATATGTTTGATAATTATTTATATTTAAAAAAAAAGAAGAAAGATTTCATCAATACCGCTGTAAATAAGTGTGACTCTAATGAAACCCGTATCGATTCTAAAATTTTACTGGCACTCCTCATCGGTCTTGGTCGAGTAACGGATGTAACAGAAATGCTTCTTTTACCACTTTACCCTTAAACTTATATATATATATATATATATATATATATATATATATATATATATATATATTCAGTCCACGATCATATTCCCCAAAGAAAATCTCTCTCTCTCTCTCTCCCTCTCAAATAGCTGATGGGTTCCAGTAACTACCACGGAGGATCCCGGGGCTTGAAAGACTTAGCGCAACAGCTTAGTCTCTACAAGCCTCTTCACCCTCTAAATGACACCAAAAACAAGAATCCCCCAATGAAGACCCAACAACTCGAGACACATCAGATAAGTTGTTTCCCAAGGAATTCAATTCGAATACGGAATCTGCAACAAACCCAATTGCGAACCAATATGAAAGATTGAGATCCAACAGAACTGGTATTATGAAGTTGAATTCTGATGGAGCTTCAAGGTGTAACCCTGGCGTTGGTGGGGGTGGAATTGTGTTGAGAAATGAATGGGGAAGGGTGTTTGTTGCTTCTTATGGGCTGATTTAGTATTTTGCTGTTTGAAATCTTTGGGCTGAATAGAGTGGTTGTTTTTCGATGAAGCCTTTGTGCTGGAGATGCTGTTTTATCTGGGTTGCTGTTGAGAGTTTCTTCTCTTTTTCTGCTGCTAGTGCTTCAATTATAGCTATCGGAGTGCTATAACAAGGAAAAGGTAAAGGAATTGTCTGATGGAGGAGTAGTTTTTTCCTAGTTTTGTTTAATTTCTGTTGCTTGTTATGGAGATTAGTTTGTCTTTCTCATTTTGCTTTTTGTAATGTTGGTTTGTTCATAAATAAATTTTTTTGTTTTTGTACAAAAAAAAAAAAAAAAAAGTCGTGTAAGGAAGAAAGGGGTAAAATGAGTATTTTTGATATAAAAATATGATGACATCATCACTTTTTTATTTTTAATTGTCGGTAACGGTAAGAGGTATAGTTGAAATATATTTATAACTAGAGATAACCCATGCCTGAAAACACAGTATAACGTAAATTAGTCGATTAATTGAAAAAAAAAAAATTTCTTAAATGTGATTTAATTAAAAAAATTAAAATTAATGTAGTTTCCAAATGTTTTTTGGGAACTATTTTGACATAACTTGCTCTAAAAATAAGAACTTAAAAAATTTCAACATGTATACAGAAGTAAAAAACAAACAAAACAATCCCCTAAAATCAACGATCAATACCCTACAACCAAAACAACAAACAATTTCATATCAAGACAAATATATCTCCATAAACATAAAATTAGTTTACCATCCTAAACACAAAATAAACAAAAACCCACACAAATCTAATTAAGTTGACATAGATTATTATAGATATCATTTAATTAATAAAAGTTGATATAGATTATTCTTTATATCATTTAATTAAAGAAAGTTGATATAGATTTAATTAAACCTAATAATAACTTGATATTTTTTCAAAATTTTGATATAATTTCCTTTGAAAATAGGAATTCATGAAAATATCAACATGTATACAGAACTGAAAAACAAACGAAATATTCCAATAAATTGATATAGATTATTCTGTATATCATTTAATTAAAGCCCAATGCCTGAAGATACGATGTAAAAAAAAAGTCAATTACATTTAAATAAACATCAGCACCTACGGTTTCAATATAAAATCATCTGTTCTGCAACACTACTATCACCAACATATTACACCTAGTCAAAACTGGTTTGTCCCCACTACAAATTCTCATACTCTCTGCTCATATTTCATTCCACCCAAGCATCACGTGTATCCACTGCCAAAAAAAAATTTCATTAAAAATCAAACAAATCAATAGCTTTTGAGAGATTTTCTTGAAAAAGTATTTAAAACCCCACCAAATTCTCCATAATTCTCTCGAATTAATTTAAAAAGATACTCCAAAGTAATCAAAATAATTCCCTTAAATACAAAATTGAAATGAAATATCAACTAACTTACCTGATAATCAGGCATATTAGAGCATGAAAAAAAAATATCAACTACCCACCTTCAAAAAAAGCATGAAAAGATAAGAAATACAGTATGAAAAATACATCTAGCCATCCTCCTAAATAGCAAGAATTTTCGAACAAATCAGCATTTGCCCACAAAACCCCTATAAAACAACAAAATAGTTTACTAAAAGTGCATCAATTAGTAATAAAAATTATAATAATTAATTGACTTTGGATTTTTAAAAAAAAAAAACTGGTTCTCATATCCGAATCTGTGTCACCCCTAACTTCTCGTATCCGAATCCATACATTATAAATCATGGAACTCAACGCCTAATTTGGAAACTGATGAAATATTCAGAACTTCAATACACAATCAAGTTCATCAAACTTTACGAAGACACTGTAACAGCATAATATTAAGACAAAATCAGGCATAAATTCAGGCACAATAAATAACGCAAAATATTAAAGACAAAATCAGGCACAATAAAGTAAACCTTCAAGCACAATAAATAACATTTTAACTAACTAAAATGAATAGAAACATAATTTTAAAGAACAATCAACACACATGTAGAGAACCCTCAAATTCAAACAAATGGCAAACGAACTAAAATCAAACAAATAGCAAACCACCTATGGTCAAAATGTAATCGAAGTCACTGTGCAATACAAAAGAAATACAGCAGAGAATTCTTTTACATCCAATTTTACATTTGTCAAATCCTTCACAAATACCCAAGCAAATTTATAATGCCACTAGGACCTAAGAAGGGAAAACCAAAGAAAGAGAGTAGAACCTTAAGGGGGAAACCAATTTGATAAATAAAAAATTCAGTTTGAAATTTCATCAAAGAAAAAATCCAAAAAAGGGCTTCCCAATTATGTAATCTATGTGATTTATTTTGATAGGTTACTTAGAAAGCATTTTTACCAATTTCTTAACATGCTCAAGATGGTCGCAGATGAATATGTTCAAGTGGATTGCACATCTTCCACCGGAACCATTGTCTAGTGGTCGTAAAAGTGTCAAACTCAAATCTCAAAGGCAACCACTTTGTACAACTAATGCAAAGGGTAGATGTATCCAGCCCACACCTCCCACCACTCCCAAAATCATGACATGTTGAACGTCTTCCATCTCATGGGCAAGGAGTTCGAACTTTGCTTTGGTTCACAAGCTTTCATTTTCAAAATTTGAAAAAATTGAGTAAGCAAGAATAGCTCTAGTGTTCGTACAAGTTAGATAACAGCCTTAAGTAAGATACCTGAACAACTGGACATTCTCCTTAGTGTTATTATTATTTCTAGTAATACAAGAGTTTGTTTCCTATCAAAAAAACAAAACAAAACATTCTCCCTAGTGAAACCCAACTAAATCTCAATCCCTTTAGGTATAAACTGAAGGAAATTGATAATTGAATAGCATAGCCTCCCTTTCAAAGATGACTCTTAAACTCATAGCCCATCATTCATAAACAGTTCAAAATCCAGGGTCTAAATGGTTTATACAGATAAAAAAAGGATTAGCTTAGATAAGTATTGCAAACACCTTAAGCTGCTAACAGGTAACATTTAGCTACATTTCACATTGCGAGAAGGATAGCGGAGGCCCATATCATGACTTTCGCATTAGATGAGTCAGTAGAAACCCAATTGATCAGTTCCAATTCCTCATAGCGTCAGCGCACTGTGCAAACAGTGACCCAGAAAAAAAATAGCTCAACTATTCACACAAAATGCAGAATTTAAGGAACAATGTGTAGAAATTGACATACCCAGATGGAAATTCCTTTGGGTGTCTATTTAAGACAGTTCTTGGGCAGCTTCCGTGATTGTATAATCCAGTTGAAGACCGATTCTTGAAACATTCCACCACTGCATTAGTAACTTTGCAACTGGGAATATTGGCTATATTTCTATAGCGAGAATGAGCTTCCTGGTGAATAGATACAGGTGAAAGAGAGCAGAGTCAGTGGATCAGTTCCATAATAAAACATTAATGTTACTATCAATGCATGTAGATAGGTGCAATGTCAAAAATAGGCATGATGTTACTACAAGTTTATCTAATTTATGTTTCTAAGCATGATAACTTTTCATGAACTGCACTTGCATAATTGATCTTCCATGAATTCAGATTCCATTACTCCCTTAAGAATGATGCACAACACAGATCAAAGCTAAACAAAACTTATAAATAAAAGCAAACAAACAAATGTCCTTTAAGAATGATGCACATCACAGATCAAAGCTCTCAATCTCCATTGTAGTAGCATTAGCTAGCAAATTGGGCCTCAATCACAAGGAATCTCCATCTGTTACATCGTGATTTTCGTTTTCTCAATCTCAAGCTCCATTGTAATAGTCATTAATAGGGTTTTTTGTTCCATAAATATTAAAATCCACAACCCAAATGCCATTCCAGTATTCCAAATTTAATATATAAGAAAAAATGAAAAAAATATGAAATCATTAGAGAGAATGAGATCCAAAACAATTTGCATATAAGTGATGAAGCACGGTGTAGGGTTACCTGAAATCATACAATCTGAAATCAAATCAAATTCGTTTAGAGAGAGAGAGGAGGGTTACCTCATGGCCGGAGTGATGAGAAGAGGAAGCAGAAGAGGAGGGTTTAGAAGAGGCGTCATCGTCAACGAAGTCAGCAACTGGTATAAGAAGCTCTAGATCTCAACAACAATTTTTTTTTTTTTATAATTAATGATAATAAATAAATGCTGTTTGAATACATTTTATATTATGCAAAGACACAGCAGAAGCGTTCAAGGTTTGAGTCACATCAGCATGCTCCATCCGTCTAGTAAGTTAAATGGGGCAAAGGAGTGAATATGCATTGACAGTTGTGCAAGAGAAGAGTCAAATGAACAAATTTTTCTTTAAATTCATATGTTTTTCATTGCAATAAGTAGATATGTATAAATTATTAGTCATCTCTCAAGCAAGTATTATGGTTGAAATAAGCTTGGATCAGAGTATGTTATGAAAATATGAAGCTTAATTTCAGTTTCTTTTCTTCTCCTACCTTTATTCTTTGACAATCAAACAGATCTAGAACCAAAAGACTTAAATTCACACTTCAGAGCAAAAGAAAGTTGGAAAAAGACCCCAAAACGAAAACAGAAGACCAGCTAAGTTATAGGAGCAAAAACAGAAGAAACCAAGAAAGCCATAAATTCTAGGCAACAAACAACCAACTATCCATCAGCAGAGAAAGCAATCTCAACCAAGACAAAAGCATCATTAAAGATTCATCGGACATCAAACAAGTGACTTAGCATTGTCGAAAAAGACGAATCTTTAATAAAACAAAGGCTTCATTAAAGAAACACCATGATACCAAATCAGACCACATAATGATATTCATTAAAGAAATCAAAAGGACAAAAAAAGCATCATAAACAAATCAAAATCCAAAAACCTGTGTGTGCAATTGGGTATAATTCTCCGAATCCAAGACTTACAAAGGATGTCTTCTGGTGTAGATGCAACCCGTTTAGTGTAATAGAAAGTCGAAGAATGAACCAGTGGGGAAGCATAGAGATTTCCCGAGGGGCCACAACCCTATTAACTACAAATTAACAACATCAATTTACACCAATTAATAGCCCTAATTTGGAAATTATGTGTGTGTGTGTGTGTGTGTATGGGCGATGAGTTTATGTGTGAGTGTGTGGTTGATGGGTGTGTCAGCATGTGTATGCATTGTGTGTGTGTGAAAGCAGAGGAGAGAGAGAAGCAGAGGGTCGGGCCGGAGAGAAGCAGAGAAGAGGGATACCTGGGAGGGGTGTGGTGGTGGCTGTGTCGCTGGCGATGGTGGCGGCTATGTAGCTGGCGATGTGGTGGTGTCGCAAACGATGTGGCGGTGGTAGTGGTGTTGCTGGTGTTCCTGGTGGCGTCGCTGGAGTATAACAGAGAAAGAGGGAGAGGGTATAGCTTGGTGTCTGTGGGGGAGTGTCTGACAGATGAGGTGACTGAGAGGGTCAGAATTTTGAAAAATATTGTGTGCGAGAAATGTTGATTTTAGGGGGAAAAATATAATATTGTGCATGATTGTGGGCCGTTGAATGGATGAAATAATTTAAAACCGTCGGATGATGAAATCGCTCTGTTTTATATTATAGATATAAAACAAAGCGGAGTTTTAATAAGCCAATCGTATAATCTTCGTTCATTCAAAGGCTCACAATACATCTCATTCAAATTCAAAAATTCATATATTTTTCCCATAAATTCATCTCATTCAACTTAACCCAACGTGACCATCACATCCAACCTAACCAACCCAATCCAAATACATCATTTTTCACCCATAAAATTTTTCAAAATTTTGAACTCTCCGATCCACCAGTTGTCGCTTACCTACCCCATCATTCCTCTGTTAGTAGAGACCGTTCCCTCTCCATCTCCATCTCTTTTTATCTTTTTTACCTTTTCCTCCTTCGCTTCTAACTCTCTCCCACCAACGCTAGAGACAGCTCCTGAGCCACCGCCACCGCCTTCCTATTCTCCTAGGTATCCCTCTTATCTTCTTCTCTCTCACACGCAGACAGATAACACCCCTAGCCCCTAGCTCTCCCTTTCTACGAACAACCCCCTTTTGCGCAAACCTCACCCTCTCCTCTTATACCCCCTCTGCACAAACCACCCCCCACACATACACATACACACACACACACACACACAAAACACTCATACCCACACTCACACCCTTAACACACTCACGAGTTCTCTCTCTAGCTCTTAGCCTAACAATGCCACCGTCACCAGCAAAGCACCACCGTCAAGACCATAAAACCATCTTCCAGGTATTTCTCTCCATCCCCTCCTCTCCCCTCTTTCTATTTCTCACTAAAATGTTTGTTGAGATGCCCAAAACCCAGACCCCAATCATAATGCCCATGACGTGTTTGTTGAAATGCCTAAGAGACGAGCACAGGCAAATCACAGCTACAGCCACGACCACACCTGCTGTTTTCTGCAAGCACATCTCTCTGCCACTCTCTCCTGCCTTCCTTCTACCCTTCTCATACACAAACAACACACACCTAAACCCCCCAGCCATCACACACACAGACCCACACAAAGCCTCTCGGCCAACATAGAAACACAGGCAAACAACAGACTCTTTTATTTTTTTCAACTCTCTTTTCTTTCTTTTAATTTTACAGCTATAAACATTGCCAAAAAACAAAATAAAATTGTATGATTGTTTGGATTTTTTTATAGGAATCCCATATGTTCAAAAATTTGCCATTTGTTAAAGTTGTCTTCATAGGAATCCCATCTGTTGACAGATATTTTAAAGTTGTCTTCATTTGCCATTTCTTGGGTTTGATCTCTACAATCTCATTCAAAAAATGTTTTCTATTTGCTTGAGTGCTTTTGGTTTAATGTAATTCTAATTTATAATTTAAAAGGTCAAAAAAATGAAGCTAAGTTGATTTTGAGTGCCTCTGATTTAATGTAATCCTTTTTAAATATAGATGTCCAACCATTGGCCAATGACATCTATTGAAGACTATGTGACTGTACCTCTGGTAACCCATTCATCGTAATATTTGAAAATCGTGATTCTTGCATTCTAATTCAATTTGGGGTGGATAGTTGTTATCATGTTTTGTTTTATTAAGTTTGTATAAGGAGGCTCATGACTAAGTTTTTGACTATTAATTAATGGGCAGTGGTTTAAGGTCTAAATTCAAGAACACAGCATGATTTTGATGGGATGTAGCGACAAAGACATGTTTGTTTTCTCTTTTGCATGCTTGCAAATTGGGTAAGAATGCTATGAAATGATGTTTGAAATTGAAATTTCTTTGAATATGTTACCAAAAATTTTCATTGTTTGCTTAGTGTTACATGCTCTATTTGGTTGCTGAATACTATGAAGATATAAGGTCATAAACTTTCAAATGTTAATGTTTTAATTATTAGGACTTAACTGATTTTTTTTTTTTTTGTTGTTGGATTGAACTAAATCTAATGCAGTTGTAACGCAATTTTAGTTATGAAAATTATGTATACAGGTTAAAATTTTCATATGTTCCTATTTTAAGATGCATACAGTGATGATAAATGAGTTCATTTGTTGTGGTTGTCTTATAAGTTGCGGTAAGCAATTGCAATTGGCGATATTCTTTAATTTGTGATTTTCTTGCATTCTAATTCCATTTGGGGTGGATAGTTGTTATCATGTTTTGTTTTATTAAGTTTGTATAAGGAGGCTCATGACTAAGTTTTTGACTATTAATTAATGGGCAGTGGTTCAAGGTCTAAATTCAAGAACTCAACATGATTTTGATAGGATGTAGCGACAAAGAAATGTTTGTTTTCTCTTTTACATGTTTGCAAATTGGGTAGGAATGCTATGAAATGATGTTTGAAATTGATATTTCTTTGAATATGTTACCAAAAATTTTCATTGTTTGCTTAGTGTTACATGCTCTATTTGGTTGCTGAATACTATGAAGATATAAGGTCATAAACTTTCAAATGTTAATGTTTTAATTATTAGGACTTAATTGATTTTTTTTTTTTTGTTGTTGTACTGAACTAAATCTAATACAATTGTAACGCAATTTTAGTTATGAAAATTATGTATACAGGTTAAAATTTTTATATGTTCCTATTTTAAGATGCATATAGTGATGATAAATGAGTTCATTTGTTATGGTTGTCTTATAAGTTGCAGTAAGCAATTGCAATTGGCGATATTCTTTAATTTGTGATTTTTTGTTGCAATAATAACTAGGAATTTATGGGATATTTTTGTGTGTTGCATGCATCGTGCTTGACAAAATATTTTCACGCACTCTTTATGCCGATGGGTTAGGCTTAACCATTGTTTTTTAGCATTTGGTTAATCTTTCTTCCAATGTTAATGTTCTTATTAATTTGGTCTTCTTGATTTATTTTCTTAAGGAGTTTTTCTATTGCTCTCTCTCTCTTGCACATGCAGCACCTGAACAAACCATAACACAAGGTATTTTTAATGATTTTGTAACACTATTTTTTAGCTTGATAAGAATTTACTTGCCTTGAATGATTATTAAATTTGCAGCATTCAATATTTAGTTGTTCAGTGTAATTTTGTAAGTCTTAAAAAAGGATTGATTCTATTAATGAGATCCTAGGATTCGGGATAAGAAGGGTGATGATAGGTAAATTTAGACATCATTGAACTTTGTTTATCTGGATGGAAAGGGTGAACATGTAAATTTGAGCAAGCACAATAAATTATTATGGCTTAAACCAATAAAAGGTCTAACTTATGGTTTGCAGTTTATGAGAATCTATAAAAGGTCAAATGTCGTTTGTGAGTTTTGGGTGACTGGTATATAAAAAGTATTAAATGTGTATTTTTGGACAAAAAGTTATATTCAAGTTGTGCGATTGTCGCAAAGAACTAGAAACTTATTTAGTCTCCCAATGCACTATATAATTGATTTGAGTTTTGTTTTATTAAATAATTGTTTGATTATTTAAATTATCTACAAAGGTTGATATTGTTCAGGGATCATGCTTGTAGAAAAAATTTTATTGAAAATTTTTAAAAATAATAGCGGGCACATATTGTTTGACGATTTTTCTTAGTTTTTTTTATTGACAAATTTTGTGTAATATAGTGTCTTCAGGTATAGGTAATTATTTGCAATTTTTTTTT